AGGCTCTTTCGGTTGATCCCGAGGATGGTTGTGGCATACTTCACATCTGGGTATGAAGTCTGTAATTTCCTGATTCATACCCGGCCAATAGACAAGTTCTCGGGCCCAACGCAGAGAGCCTTGGATGCCAATGTGTCCTGCGTGGAGTCTTTCTTTAACAAATAGTCTAGCACTAGAAGGGATTACCAGTCTTTCGCCTTTGAATATCAGGCCGTCGTGAATTGAAAGTTCGTCTCTGAAGGAGAAGTAGGTAGCAAGGCTGTGGGGTACTGCTGCCTTGTTGTCTGGCCATCCTTGTCTGATGACTGTCTTCAGTGAATTCATGTCATGGTCTTCATCACTTGTCTTTCTTATCCGGGCTATGGTTTCGTCTGAGGCGGATAGGAATTGTAGAGCATTGACACTCTCGATATCAACCTCGACCTCGCTGATTCTGTCATCTAGCTTGAGTATGTCTTCGTCAGAGACATCCTCTTGGGGTGTGGTTGTTAAGTAGGCTCTTCTGAGTGTGTCGGCCATGTACATCTGTGAACCCTTCTTATATGTAACTTCTAGGTCGTATCTCTGAAGCCTCGTCATCATTCTTTGGAGGCGTTTTGGAGCGTTAAGTATACTCTTCTTGAGTATAGATTCAAGAGGCTTGTGATCAGTCTCTACCTTTTTCTTTCTGCCATATATGTATTGGTCAAACTTTTGTGTTCCAAAGTCGATGGCCAGCATTTCCTTTTCTATCTGTGCGTAATGTTGTTCTGCTGTGGTAAGATATCTGGAAGCATAGGCGACGGGCTGCCCCTTTTGGAGCAGGCGTGCCCCAAGTCCCCTTTTCGACGCATCGCACTGCAACTCAACTTCTTCTTTGGGGTTGAAGAATTTCAGCAAAGGTGCAGTCGTTAGTAGTTGCTTTACTCTGTTGAGAGACTCGCCGTGGACGTGTGGGTCCCAGTGGAACAGTAAGTCTTCCTGGAGGAGGTTCCTTAGATCATAAGTGGCATCGGAGAGATTCGGCGAGAACTTTTGTAGGTAGTTGACCATGCCGAGGAGACGGCGAACATCTTGCTTATTCTGTGGAGTTGGCATGTTTATAACAGCATCAATCTTTGCTGTGTCCGGTCTTAGGCCGTCAGCAGAGATTACATGGCCCATCAAGGTGACCTCTGCTTGTCGATACTTGAGCTTCTCTTTGTTGAGTTTGATCCCTTTATCTCTGCAGCGTTGGAGAAGAGAGTTCAGCTTGCGGTCGTGATCGGCTGTAGCCTCCTCTTTAGTGTTTCCACAGCCGAAGACTAGAATATCGTCGTATATGGGTTGTACCCCATCTAGGGCTTTCAGAGCGTTGTCTAAGCGACGCTGGAACTCTTCGGGAGCTGGTGATATCCCGAATGGCATCCTGGTCCAACGATATCGACCCCAGGGCGTGGCGAAGGTTGTAAGCAGGCTACTTTTACGGTCTAGAGGCACGTGCCAGAATCCATTTTTAGCATCAACGACAGTAAGGATCTTAGCGTCCGACAGACGAGGTAGAAGGTCTTCGATGACTGGGAGAGGGTAATGGTTCCTCTTTAGTGCTTGATTCAGCGGTTTCGGGTCGATACACAGGCGGATATTACCATTTCACTTGCGCGCTACGACCAT